TGTAAATAAGTGTCTAGTCTAAGTGTAGGTGTCCCTTTATATTTGGTAATAAGTCTAGGACAGTATTCCATATTACTTAAGCATATATTAGTATATTTATCCTCCATTAAAAACAAGTTATTTGTATCTATATTATATATATACGAAACCTTTATTCTATAAGTTCAGTAGTGCCTGGTCATAAATCAGGCGCTCGGTCTCGTTAAATAATCTATTATTACTATTTTGAAATAAGAGTGTTCGGCCAAACTCAATAGTGTTCGGTCTCTACAGTGCTCGGTCTCAGACTAGCACTCGGTCTCTTCAATGTTAGTCTCAGACCAAAAAGCTAAGTATTATTAGTGCTCGGTATCATACTAACTCTCAGCTTCTTCATAGTATATAGTCTGTTACTAGTATTTGGTGTCAAACAATATATATCTCAATAAATGGTGTTCGGCTTAAAGTCTTAGTATTCGGCCTAGACTTAGTAGTATTCGATTTACACTATTATGAGTCGGTTCGATGAAGTGGCTAAATTGGTAATTAGCGTTCGGTCCTGTTAGTTACTAGGGAATGTTATTCCACGCGGTCTCTTTCATAATCAGGATAATAAATCTTTCGGTTTTGTTCTGTGTATAAGTGGGAGACCACTCGGTTTCACTCTAAGAGTTTAATTTTGTCTCTAAAGTGGATGTTATTATTCAGTTTAAGTGTAAGATGGGTTTTGTTTCTATTGGTTCGGATTGATGTATTGATAATGAAGTATGATGGAATGTGGTATGAATAAAATAGTATGGATAGGAAAGAGTATTCCAGGGAGGAATATCTCATGATTCAGTATTGAAATGGTAAAGTATGAATGTGGACAAAGCTTAGCTGGCGTTTATCCTGATATTCTGTGATTACTTATTCTCACGTAGAGAAGAGTAACTCATGTGTGGGAATGACAGGAGGTCCTAGTCCATAAGGTGAATTTGGACGGAAAGGATTAACCTCGGGTGGCAGCTGTTGAGGGCATCCCAGTTACTACATCACCCGGGTGCACAAACGTTGTAGCTACACAGAATTCATACAGTCTGGACAATCAAAGTCAAGTGGTCTGTCTTTGCATGCAATAATATATGAATTATGATTGGTTGTTGTTTGATTGAATAATGGAATTATATGTTTTACTAAATTAATTAAATTACACAAGCTTACCCTATTTCCTGTCTTGTTTGTGTTGTCCTTTCTGTTGTCATTTTTCGTTGCAATGATCATCCGTGTGGATGTGAGCAGAAGGAAAGGAGTTGCTGGAAGAATCTTTGGAAGAAGTGGAAGTGAAGGCCGAACCTTAGGACCGTTCGGTTATTATCTTTGCTTCTATTTTGTAGAACCGTTCGGTATAGATGATTTTGGAAACCATTCGGTCTAGACTATATACTGTAATAATTTAAATTCTGAAGTTATTTTTGTAAGGTCGTTCGGCCATACTCCTACCTTTTTTTTCTTTGTAAAACTGAGCTGTAATATTATTAATATGTGATTATTCTCTTATATGGTTTTACACTGTATTTTTGGGATGTTACAACAATTATTATTATTATTATTATTATTATTATTATTATTATTATTATTATTATTGTTATTATTATTATTATTTATATTTTATTATCATAAAAAAAAGTAAACACATTTGTTTTTACTGGTTGTTGAGACCTCGGCAAGCGTACCGAGTCGTTCAAGTAATAAACCGGTAAGTCCGGATATCGTTTTCCCAAGAGATTTGTTTCGATTCACTGATTGTTAAAGTTTACCAATTTAGCGATTATTAAATGTATTTTTGTAACATACTTAATATTATCATACATATGTAAATAAAGTGTTAAAAACAGTCGAATTTAGGTTCACTTGGTTTTAATTTTATTTTTTTTTTTTTGTTATTTTTCTACTAACATAATTTCTCAAAATTTAGCATTGACATCCTAGGCGCATTCAGCCTCTGATCCCTCATATGACAGTTTCTGAATCATTCAAACTAAATTACTAATCCCTTAGCTAATTCAGTTCTCATATTTGCCTTAAACACAATGTCACAGATGACTAAAATTTCCATCCTATGTTTAGGATTTGAAATCCTTTAGTTGTTCTATCCTAGGTTCGTGGTCTCATACATTTCCCAATGATTTAACCGTTCAATTAGCTCAGATTCCCATCGTAGGCATGAATAATAAAGATAGAACACAAAATTCATACAAGATCATGCATTAATAGAGAAATTACAAAGAGTTTCAGAACTTTACTCACAACCCTAGTGAAATGGAGTTTTAGCTACAGATATACATCTCAGAAGTGATAAATCATGGATTGGATGGTAGAAAGTGATGGTTTTCCACCTTGGAAGCACCCAAACACGAGCTGGACGCGAGCTGCAGAGTCCCCTCTGGTCTCCTCCTCTCTCTGGATCAGTTTCGCGACATTTTAAAGAGAATGACCTTAACTGATTTTTCGCTGGGCGAGCAAGGTCAACTCGCTGGGCGACTGGGTCCTGGTCGCTGGGCCACTGGCGCACTTCTCGCTGGGCCACTGGCGCACTTTTCGCTAGGCCACTGGTGCACTTTTCGCTGGGCCACTGGGTCTTGGTCGCTGGGCCACTGGCGCACTTCTAGCTGGGCCACTGGTGCGCTCTGGCTGGGCCAGTGATGCACTTCTGGCTGGGCCACTGGTGCACTCTGGCTGGGCTACTAATGCACGCAGGGTCTCTTTGATATTTTCCAATCCTTATTCTATTGCGAAATAAACACACAAAAACACTTAAATTGATATAAAATCAAATATATATACATTTTATACAACTTTTCATGAGATTTTACTCTATAATACATCAAAGGAGATTAAAATAAGTGCTTAGAATATGTAATTTTTGACACTTATCACTGGTATATTATAATATAGTTTAAATACATTTTTAATTTTCAATAAAATTAGATTCTTTGAATTGAGTACCCAATATTACTTTATAAAAAATTTCATAGTTTTAATATTATTATATTTTTTTTTCTTTTGTTCATTTATTACCTTTCATAGAAAACAAGTTTTTCACATAAATTATCTCTTTTATTTCTTTTAATGAATGTTGAAATATATTTTTTTTCTTTTTTTCATCTATTTTCTTATTTATTTAGTCTCTCCTCTTCGCTTCATGCTGGAAGGAGAGATATCACAGACCACACAACGAGGAGTAAAAGAAGTCACTACCCCAGCGACATAATTGCAACCTTTCTATCCGACCAAGAAAAACTAGCTGACTTGTCTATGAGGAAAAAACATGCACTTATGCGCAATAAACCTGAAATGTGGAACCCTAACTGTTCTGCTATTATTCTAATAAATAATAATAAAATTACAACCTAGCAATAGGTAGTAAAACACATTGATGAAAAGATTAAATCGAACAAATATTAAACAACTATTGTTCGGTTAAATATTCAGAATAGCACAAAATACACTTAAAACATTATTAAACCAATTAATATTGATTTATGAACCCAAACTAGTTTGAAAGATAGGTTAAAGTGGCTAAATTGATAATTTATTAAGATATAAGTGTAATAGAATGATCCGTTAAAGTGTTCATAATTATTAATGATTGAATTTAATGTTTATTCAATACCTGTATATATATTTCCTCTAATTTTTTATTGATACAGGTATATTTTGACATATTTTATTTTATTTTTTAATAAAAATTGAAATTCTTATAATTATTTATAGAAAAGTGATTTTAAGATATAACATAAGACAAATAATGAAATGCACCAAACAAACATATAGTTGAAAGTAAAAAAAAAAATTGTCAATAAACTATTTCATCAATAAATTAAATTATAAGAATTTTATTTTATTTAAAAACTAAAATTAAAATTCTCTGAAATATACCTTTATCAACAAAATAATAAAAAAACCTATAAAGAAACATATGAAGATAACTATTGATGTCATTTTATTTTTCTTAACTCATATTTAACTTTTCAATTAGCGTAGTCAAATATAACATTGGTCAATATATCATTTATCTCAATTACATTTTTTAATTAACATTAATCGAACTTGAATTTTCATTTACATATATATAAATTTTCATTTAGACTTATGGGACATTGATACTTCGCTTCTACTCAAATACAAGAAAAATATTTAGTGTATTTAAAATAAAATAAACTTTAACCATTTTAATTTGATGTGATCTCATTATTCTAGAAAATCTATTTTTTTTAAGATAATTTGCAAAACATAAATTTATTTGTGTGATTAAAATCAAATGAACTTAATTAATTTGAAATTAATTATTATTTTATTTTTTGCACGCATTCAGATCAAATAAATAGTGAACAGATGTGCAACCATGCATTTAATTTGAATTTTAATAATTTATGGATATTTATTCTTATTTTGTTTACCCTACACATATAAATTAGTTTAAAAAATATAACAATTATGAACAGTTTTTATTAATATTTATTCATTTTTGTCTGGATTTGAGTATCATGCAAAAAGCAACACATTTCTGTTTTAAAAAATTAATTGAGACATAATTACATATAATTAAATTTATTGAAGTATTAAATAAGAGAAATTGGTGAGAGAAAGTGAGCGTTAAAGTCAACCTGGAGAAGCAGTAAGCTTAATGTAAAGAGAAGGGAAAAGAGAGTGATAAGGAAAACCTGTTGTTAAGGTTAGCGGTCTCTGCATGCCTTTTTCGCACTTCTCTTCAACCTTTATTATGTAAAACGGCATTCTTTTCTAACTTTGCATGCACACTCTTTCTCTATATATATACTAATTCTCTTTCTCTCTCATACCAAAGCACAACAACAGTAGTTCACATTTCCAAATTCCTTCGCCAGTGTAAGTGTATTGTTGTTGCAGCACACAGAAAGAACCTCAGAGTTGTTTTGTTTTGAGGATGGTTTTGTTGTTCCTATTTATCTCAAAATCTGTGTCATTTTAATTCGTTTTTGTGTTGTTTCTAGGGTTTTTTGAGTTTGCAGTGGATGGAGCTCGATGTTTGCATGAATGGTGCTTGCAAGAATGGCTATGCGAGAGAGTGGAAGAAAGGGTGGCCTCTGCGATCGGGTGGATTCGCTAGGCTCTGCGATAAGTGCGGGTAAATTTGATTTATCTCCCTTTTCTTTTTCTGTGCTGAATTTTGATGGATTTTTTCGTTGTTGGGCGATTTTGTGAGTTTGACTCTTTTAAAATGAATGAGTATTATTTGGTCACCACAGTTTCTGAGGTCAAGGATTTTACAATGTTTGGGACTGTAACTGTGACTGCGTGAAATTCCTTAATGTGTCACTTTGTTTGCTTTAGATCTGCATATGCCAATTCAATTTTCTGTGAAAAATTCCACCTGCATCAAACTGGTTGGAGAGAGTGCAACTTTTGCAACAAGGTAAAGAGTAAAATATCTTTTTTTCTATTTAAATTATATTCAAGCCTTGTCTTTCAATCCTTAGTGTATTTTTTGACTTGGTTTGCAGTCTATCCACTGTGGATGCATAATATCAAGGTTTTCTTTTGAGTACCTCGATTTTGGAGGTATAGGTTGCTCAACCTGTTTGAGGGCTTCTCCATTTCCTTTGGTAAGGTTAATCTGAGTATTTATTTTTGAAGGATGATTTCCAGGCTTACAGTTTATTTTCTTAGTAACTAATATGGTTCTAGCAATGTATATTTTAGTCAATCTCATATTTTTGCCGAATTGTACTTCTACAACAGTACATGCATGTCTAAATATCACAGAAATTACTCTCTGACAAATGTGAATACTGTTGTTGAAATCGTAAGGATTGAATGCAGCCTTGTTGCTATACCTTTCAAATAATTGTGAAGTTGTGATTGTGTTATAAAACAGAAAATGTAATGTCAAATGATGCAAATAACCCTTTCAAGTTTAGTGACTTAAATATGACATGTAAAAAGAAGCAAATATAATGTCACTCATGTAATGTAATGTTACTTGTTCTAATTTTCTCCATCCTGTCATATAGTTCATTTTCCAATTAGGTTTAGCAAATTGTTTCACCTTGCTTGCTGGTTCCTCTTAGGGATACCTGGTCTTGATCTCCTATATGTTTAATTTGATATAGTGTGAGATGTAGCTAATAAAAATTTTGAAGAGTTTATTAATTCCCTGCTGCTATTATTCTCATTATTATTTGATGTTTTGTTGCAGATACAGGAGACTGGAAACTCTATTAGGTCTATTAGATCAGTAAAAAATCATGCTAGTGATCGTCATACAGAACATATTGATGATAGGCTATTCCTTGATGGTTCTAGCAAACGAAAACCTATGCACATGCGTAGAATTGTGGATGGTAGAGAATCCAGCCGTTGGCCTCAAGTTAAGAGAGATGACATACATTCCTGTATTGATCTAAGCAGAGAAGAAATGAGATTTTCAAATGTGATGAAACCGTCTAATCATTCATTAAAGTTTACTGCATTAGAAAATAACAGACCAACATGGGAGAATAGAAGTATGCACAGATCAAGTTCATTGAATATTTCTCTGGGAGCCTCATCAGGAAACCCTGTGCTACCTTCTGCTTCAGCGGTTGCAGCAGAAGGGAGATTTGATGGTAAAACATCATCTTCTTCCTTTCATCAAGGGCAAAGATCTCTCTCCATTATGCCTAAACCATTGATGAATGCAATAAACATAAATATGGAATCAAGCAATGGAATGATTTCTCAAGAGCGTGTTGCACGGCCACCTACTGATGGGAAAGGCAAGAATATGTTACTTTCTCGATACTGGCCAAGGATTACAGACCAAGAGCTTCAGCAATTATCCGGAGAGTATCCTTTATATTTATGCTAAATAGTTTTTTTTAGCCTCTGCATTACATATCATAAATGCTTATTTTTATATAATTAAAATTCACAATAAACAAATCTTTTTAAAAACTGTAGTATGGATTTACAATGAAACAATTTAAACTAATTAAAGGTTATTTTTATTATCCGTTGACAAATTTATGTAAAAAAAGCATAGGAAGAAATACAAATGACAGTATGGAAACCAAGATGAAAGAATTGTAGTTTTGAGTTTCTGAAAGGGTGAGAGAGAAATATTTTATGTTGTCCACTGTCGTCTAAAAGGTTGAATCATCCACCAGGATTACATTTTTTATTAGGGATTTTTTTAACTCCATTTGACAAGAGACATACAAATTTGTTGGGGGTAATATTTTCTTATTAATAAATTTTTTTATAAAAATATATAAATAAGTTTATTTATTACTATAAATAATTGAAAAAATAAAAATTTGTGTAATAATTTATTTCACAGTTTGTGTTTGACTTAACTAAGTATATTGTTTAGGATTATATATACATATATATTAAAAATTTGTTTTGGTTTACATCTATACTATGAATAAGTTGTGAACAAATTTTATACAATGGAATAGCTGAAATTGGCTAATTCTTAATTTAAATACATTTAAAAAATTCTAAATAAATGTAACTGCAGCCATGAAGGTGGAATTGGTAGAACATTTATAAATCTTGCATAATTTATTTATATGTAGTACCATCTGATGTACATATGAATTGAGACCAACCTTGTCTGGCAGAAGGAGGTCCTCTTGTTCATGATGAAATCCAGATTGATCCTCTTTAACCAGTAAATCAATAATATCCCTAACTTCAGGTAATAGATACATTTATTCCAGGTAAACAGTTTAAACCTTGTTTTTACTCCTCTAATAAAAATAATATCTTAAAAAATGTTATTGAAAAATATCAGGTACATTCTAAACTTATTCTGAACTTTCTATATATATATATATATATATATATATATATCTATATATATATATATATATATATATATATATATATATATATATATATATATATATATATATACATTTTCTTTTGTGAAAAACTCTTTCTCACTTTGAATGGCATTAGTTGCTCATTTTAATAGAAACAATACTATGTATAGCATCACTCTTATATAATTTAGAAGTTAATACTATAACTTATATATCCTTTGTTTGCTGATCACAAAACTCTTATATAATTTAAAAGTTTAACATCCACTAATATAGAAAGTTTTGTCGTAGGTCCAAAATAGTTGTTATATAAAAATTGTATTAATGGTAAAATAAATATGATATTTAATAATAAAATCAATTCAATAAATGAAAAGTGAGTGATTATACAATTGTATTCCATATGTGGAAAGAGATTTCTTTTGCCTATACTATAATGTTGTCTAATTTGACCAAGATCGTAATGCATAAAGTGAAATAATTTAATACAATGTTGGGAAAATACTTAAAATAAAAATATAAGCATTGATATGTATCTTACTACTTTACTACCGTTTTTAATTATATATATTATTCACTATGGTTGCGTTTCACAAATCATTTTTACTGGTTATAATTTTTTTAATAATTTTTAACATCTTTTATATACTATTTCAAGTTGCTTTAATTTTAAAGTGCCAGTTTTTTATATTTATTTATTCTTGTCCATATAAACTGTCTATTAATTATTTCTTCTGCTCTACATAACCTTTTTTTTAATCAGCATCTACTCTACATAAGGTAATATGTTACTATATATTATTTTTCTATTATTTTATTCATACCTGTTATATAGGATTGAATTTTCATATTTTTCACAAGTTTTTGATAATGACGGATAATAAATTTATTGCATTTAACGATTATTTTTTAAAAATACTTTTATATAATTCTATTTATTATAATTACTATATCATTAACAATATTTATTTTATTATTTCAACATTATACTTAAATATATTAATATTGATATATAATTTTATTTTGTGATCGTAACCGCAAGTAGCCGAAAAGATAATTAGTAATTGAAAACTGTTAAATTGGTAGTTTATTAAAATAAAGTATGCAGTAAAATCATCCATTAAAGTACTTAATAATTATAAAGTAATAGAATTGAACATATTTTTTATTTTATGTTATCAATAAAAGTATATTTTTACTAAAAGAAAACAATAAGAAGAAAAAAAAATTGAAAGAGGGTTGATTGAAATGAACAGACCCTAAAGAGGTTTAGGTATACAAATAAAGATGAAAGACACGTAGTTTGAGTTTGTGAGATGGTTGAGAGAGAAAACTATTTACTAAGCTGGCAACAGTAGTGTGTGGAATACACTTGAAAAAGAGAGAAGAGAAACAATACTTAGAATCTCTGATCAAATTCCGACTCATGTATTCGAATTTACAATATTTACACATCATCTGCATTAAACTTTGTTATAGGGATAATTCATTATACCCGTTTCCTTAACTCTATATCACCATAGTTTGAAGTCTACTATAGTGCCTTTATTTGAGAAGGTACTGAGTGCCAGTGATGCAGGTCGAATTGGTCGTCTTGTTCTGCCAAAATCATGCGCTGAGGTAAGCTTTTATTCAATGAATTTCTGTCTCTATGTTTGTGCACATGTTCATGCATGCAGTTGTTGTAAAAAGTTTTCTATTGAAGAAATATGTTACCACCTTTTAATTGCAGCATATCTGATGTAACCATTTGCACATGAATTTCAGGCTTACTTTCCTCCTATTTCACAATCAGAAGGTCTTCCTTTGCATATGAAAGATGTGAAGGGAAATGAGTGGACATTTCAGTTTAGATTTTGGCCTAATAACAACAGTAGGATGTATGTATTAGAGGGAGTAACCCCATGCATACAGGCCTTGCAATTAAATGCTGGCGACATTGGTATATAATTTCATCTGGGCAGTGATCTATGCACATACTTGTTTCGTTGCTGTTTAATACTTTACTAAAAAAGTTTATTTGGTATTCTGATTTTCTTTGAAAATGTGATCCGAAGTAAATGTGTTTTCATGGCTATAAACTTTTTTGGTTCCTTCAATTGTTTTAATCGCTTATGGCTCGTACGATATAGGTTATGTACTATGATCTTTTTTGCTGCAGTGATATTTAGTCGAATAGATCCTGGAGGCAAATTTGTTTTGGGTTTTAGAAGGGCATCAGATTCTACAGATACACAGGTTGTGACATTATTTTCTATTTCATTGTCCGTTGTCTCTTCTTTTGATAAAATTAACAAATGATCATTATTGAAACAGGATGCTTCTGCCGCTCATTCCAATGTTTTATCGACAAAGGAAACAACCATTTCTGGTGCAACTGCTGGAAATAGTTATCATGATCTTCTCCAGGCAAGGAAAGGGAATGGTGATCCTTACTTAAATAAATGTTCAGAGCATTTCCGTTTGGGTACTGCTGGCATTGCTGAGCCTCTTCGAACTGAAAATTCTGAGATTGTAAACAAAGATTTGGTGCAACTACCAATTTCAGTTTCAGAGAAGACTCAAAATATTGGACCTATGTGCAAGAGGTTGCTCATACACAACGAAGATGCCAAGGAGTTGAGAGTTACATGGGAAGAAGCTCAGGACTTTCTTTGTCCAGCGCCTAGTATTAAGTCCAATATTGTAACAATTGAGGACCAAGAATTTGAGGAATATGAGGTAAGTGTCAGTGCCACTGCCATGGCTGTGCATCTTTTTATTATATTGGTTTGCTTATTTCCACGAGAACAAGGAATGGAATTATGTATAGGGTGTGTACTTTGAAGCATTACATTCAAATTTCTGTTACTCAGCTAATATATGACTTCATTTTCATTTTATTTAGGAACCCCCGGTCTTTGGGAAGAGAACTACAATAAATGCTCGTTCATCTGGGTAAGATTCAACACATTGCATAAATCTTATTTACATTTAATCCAGCAGAAAACTTTGATTGGGGAGTGACAGTTTTATGATAAGTTTTTGTAGCTTGATCTTGTCTTCAAATTTTTCATTCTGTTTTCTTGCATTATTCGATGTTAAAGAAAGTGTAGTGGATTGCTTCCTCGGGCAATTAAGGTTGAGGATAAGTGGTTGATGAAGTTCCTTGTCTAGTGTTTGGATCTGAGTTAAAAAATAGGAATATAAAACATTGTAAGACTAAAAGATAGCAAGAAGTAGTCATTCATACAAGAAATATCCTTTTCGAATCCTACTGTGATCTACTTGTATTTCATGCATGGTCTATGGTTCTTACTGACAATGGTTTTTCAGGTCTTTGAGCTTTGCATCAGAGGAAATGAGTCCAAAGGAATTAGATAATATTCCAGTTATCAGAAAAGGTGTGATGATCCTACACTTTTTATATAATATTCTCTGTATTTGCTTTGTATATTCAGATTCTAAAGTTGTAAAGCTCCTGCATTTTGTGAACATTGAAATAATAGGTCATCTTTTAAAATACCACGTAGTAATTTTTTGGTGATAGAAATGTCCATAGATTCATTCTTTAGTCCAGTTGATTAAACTGAAACTTAGACAATTAATTGTTGAATGTGCAGGAGTTTTGGAAGATGATGTTGCTGACCGTGGTGATTCATCAGCTGGAGCCACCACCAAATATCCAAGGCACCGTTCAGGATGCACTTGCATTGTGTGCATTCAAGCCTCAAGTGGAAAAGGGAGACATAGCCCTCCCTGCATCACCGTGGAACGCCGTTTGGACACCCTTCTGACGCGTAAGAAGCAACGCCTTGGTACCCAGAAAGATGAAGATGAAGGAGATGGTGCATGTCTCTCTGAGAAAGAGGGAAACATAAACAAAGGTTGTCTTAAGAAGGGTGAACTCAGTGCAGGACAGATAGACCTGAATTGTCGTCCCAATCTCGATGAAGACATGCAAGTGGATATATGAAACCATAAATTATCCTTTAACGCAGCAATGCATGAACCAAAATGGCCTAAAACTTTGATCCTGAACTGCAGTTTAGATCGCTCCTTTTCACTTAATCTTCTGTATTGAAGTTTTCTCCTTTTGAAAATGGGTTTGTCAGTGCATTCGCTTTTTGTAGACATGGGAGACTTGCACAAAGTTTTCTCAACGTGTGTCTTTGCTTCCTTGCAAACACAACGATTCTCACAAAAGCGTTGGGACCTTAAACTGTCACAAAATACCTATATGTCAACTTCAAAACTATGATTTGAATATCTTTCAAATAGGTCTCTAAATACTTCGAAAAATTTGCCAAGAATATAGTGTCATTCTTATTCTTTAGATATTTCGATTAAAGAGGTAACGTGCTAACCTCATGTTATAGTTTTTTTACATAAATAGTACACTTTTTCACATAAATTACAAAATTTGGAAAAATTAAAAGAAGTTACTACTTTTTAGATAAGTTGTGTATGTCTAGGACGACTTCTCTATCATACTCTTTACACACAATTTCTGACTAATGATATAAAAGGACTTGAAGTCGTGAGAAGAAAACATAACATTAAATTGTACATTTTATCAAATGATAAATTGACTTTCAATTTTTTTAAAATTAAATTTCATACATGAAAAAAGCAATTCCAGTGACATAACATTAAATTATATATATATATATATATATATATATATATATATATATATATATATATATCTATGTT